AAAATCAATTGAAAAATCAATTGAAATCCTGTCTTTTCAATTGATTTCTTGAAGTTTTAAAAAGGAAAATCAATTGAAAAATCAATTGAAATCCTGTCTTTTCAATTGATTTCTTGAAGTTTTAAAAAGGAAAATCAATTGAAAAATCAATTGAAATCCTGTCTTTTCAATTGATTTCTTCAAGTTTTAAAAGGGAAAATCAATTGAAAAATCAATTGAAATCCTGTCTTTTCAATTGATTTCTTGAAGTTTTAAAAAGGAAAATCAATTGAAAAATCAATTGAAATCCTTTCTTTTCAATTGATTTCTTGAAGGTTTAAAAAGGAAAATCAATTGAAAAATCAATTGAAATCCTTTCTTTTCAATTGATTTCTTGAAGGTTTAAAAAGGAAAATCAATTGAAAAATCAATTGAAAAATCAATTGAAATCCTTCTTTTCAATTGATTTCTTGAAGGTTTAAAAAGGAAAACTGAAAAATCAATTGAAATCTGTTCTTTTCAATTGATTTCTTGAAGGTTTAAAAAGGAAAATCAATTGAAAAATCAATTGAAATCCTGTCTTTTCGATTGATTTATTGAAGGTTTAAAAGGGCAAATCAATTGAAAAATCAATTGAAATCCTTTCTTTTCACTTGATTTCTTGAAGGTTTAAAAAGGAAAATCAATTGAAAAATCAATTGAAATCCTGTCTTTTCAATTGATTTCTTGAAGGTTTAAAAAGGAAAATCAATTGAAAAATCAATTGAAATCTTTTCTTTTCAATTGATTTCTTGAAGGTTTTTAAAAAGGAAAATCAATTGAACAATCAATTGAAATCCTGTCTTTTCAATTGATTTCTTGAAGGTTTAAAAAGGAAAATCAGTTGAACAATCAGATGAAATCCTTTCTTTTCAATTGATTTCTTGAAGGTTTAAAAAGGAAAATCAATTGAAAAATCAATTGAAATCCTTTCTTTTCAATTGATTTCTTGAATGTTTAAAAAGGAAAATCAATTGAACAATCAATTGAAATCCTTTCTTTTCACTTGATTGCTTGAAGGTTTAAAAAGGACAATCAGTTGAACAATCAGTTGAAATCCTTTCTTTTCAATTGATTTCTTGAAGTTTTAAAAGGAAAATCAATTGAAAAATCAATTGAAATCCTGTCTTTTCAATTGATTTCTTGAAGTTTTAAAAAGGAAAATCAATTGAAAAATCAATTGAAATCCTGTCTTTTCAATTGATTTCTTGAAGTTTTAAAAACGAAAATCAATTGAATGATTCAATTGAAATCTTGTGTTTTCAATTGATTTCTTGAAGTTTTAAAAGGAAAATCAATTGAAAAATCAATTGAAATCCTGTCTTTTCAATTGATTTCTTGAAGTTTTAAAAAGGAAAATCAATTGAAAAATCAATTGAAATCCTGTCGTTTCAATTGATTTCTTGAAGTTTTAAAAAGGAAAATCAATTGAAAAATCAATTGAAATCCTGTCTTTTCAATTGATTTCTTGAAGTTTTAAAAAGGAAAATCAATTGAAAAATCAATTGAAATCCTGTCTGTTCAATTGATTTCTTGAAGTTTTAAAAGGAAAATCAATTGAAAAATCAATTGAAATCCTGTCTTTTCAATTGATTTCTTGAAGTTTTAAAAAGGAAAACCAATTGAAAAATCAATTGAAATCCTGTCTTTTCAATTGATTTCTTGAAGTTTTAAAAAGGAAAATCAATTGAAAAATCAATTGAAATCCTGTCTTTTCAATTGATTTCTTGAAGTTTTAAAAGGAAAATCAATTTAAAAATCAATTGAAATCCTGTCTTTTCAATTGATTTCTTGAAGGTTTAAAAAGGAAAATCAATTGAAAAATCAATTGAAATCCTATCTTTTCAATTGATTTCTTGAAGGTTTAAAAAGGAAAATCAATTGAAAAATCAATTGAAATCCTGTCTTTTCAATTGATTTCTTGAAGTTTTAAAAAGGAAAATCAATTGAAAAATCAATTGCAATCCTGTCTTTTCAATTGATTTCTTGAAGTTTTAAAAAGGAAAATCAATTGAAAAATCAATTGAAATCCTGTCTTTTCAATTGATTTCTTGAAGTTTTAAAAAGGAAAATCAATTGAAAAATCAATTGAAATCCTGTCTTTTCAATTGATTTCTTGAAGTTTTAAAAGGAAAATCAATTGAAAAATCAATTGAAATCCTATCTTTTCAATTGATTTCTTCAAGTTTTAAAAGGAAAATCAATTGAAAAATCAATTGAAATCCTGTCTTTTCAATTGATTTCTTGAAGGTTTAAAAAGGAAAATCAATTGAAAAATCCACTGAAATCCTGTCTTTTCAATTGATTTCTTGAAGGTTTAAGAAGGAAAATCAATTGAAAAATCAATTGAAATCCTGTCTTTTCAATTGATTTCTTGAAGTTTTAAACAGGAAAATCAATTGAAAAATCAATTGAAATCCTGTCTTTTCAATTGATTTCTTGAAGTTTTAAAAGGAAAATCAATTGAAAAATCAATTGAAATCCTATCTTTTCAATTGATTTCTTGAAGTTTTAAAAGGAAAATCAATTGAAAAATCAATTGCAATCCTGTCTTTTCAATTGATTTCTTGAAGTTTTAAAAAGGAAAATCAATTGAAAAATCAATTGAAATCCTGTCTTTTCAATTGATTTCTTGAAGTTTTAAAAGGAAAATCATTTGAAAAATCAATTGAAATCCTATCTTTTCAATTGATTTCTTGAAGTTTTAAAAGGAAAATCAATTGAAAAATCAATTGAAATCCTGTCTTTTCAATTGATTTCTTGAAGTTTTAAAAGGAAAATCAATTGAAAAATCAATTGAAATCCTGTCGTTTCAATTGATTTCTTGAAGTTTTAAAAGGAAAATCAATTGAACGTAAATTGAAATCAATTGAAATCCTTTCTTTTCAATTGATTTCTTGAAGTTTTAAAAGGAAAATCAATTGAAAAATCAATTGAAATCCTTTCTTTTCAATTGATTTCTTGAAGTTTTAAAAGGAAAATCATTTGAACGTAAATTGAAATCAATTGAAATCCTTTCTTAAGATGATGATCCGAAACCATTCCAGGCCTGGCCCCGCCTAAAGGGACCCCTTCAAATGTTTGAGGCGGTGGTCTCCATTAAATCATGATGTGCTCAGATTCTGCGGTGATTGGTTTGAACATGCAGGATTCGTTCTGGCCCAGCCTTTCAGTGGAAGACAGCAACACAATAGCCCAATAGCCCATTATAGTTGGATCAAGCGCCAAAACCGTCTCGGTGTGTTTTAATCAATGTAAAAAGTCACGACATGCACGTCAATTTTGATGGCTACTAGATGCTACTAATTAGTATATTATACTCCTAGCTGGCAAAATCAACGTGTACGTCGTAACTTCAAGGCGAGAATGGGAATCCCCACCCCGAGCCACAAAGATCATCTTTACTGTTGGTTGCAATATTCGTTTCAGGTGGCTGTTGGATATGATACAGTACTCCATGTGCTTAAGATTCTTCACTTTCTCAGAGGACAGCCGCTTTTGGTAATGAACATTGCCGATTCTAAGCAAAATATTGCACCTTTTGAAATAAATCCTTGCCTTTTGGACAAACAGCGCATGTTTATAAGGAGGACTGCCCTGCAAGGCATAGCTAAAGGAACTCCACCCCTTATTGACAAGTCCTGGGAGGCTTGTCACAATGCTCTTGCTTAACGAAACACTAGATATTTTCAAACATCAGTATATACTGAACTGTAAGCAGCAAGAATGTTTTGTTTACTATGGAGATATGCATTGTAAAGAAATGCCTCCTTGATTGCAGTCTAAATCTAATCGATTTTCATATACTTTATCTTTTTTGAAAGGAATACAGCACGTCTGCAAAATACAGAATGTGAAGGCTGCTCTTTTCCAAGACATACTGGATTTCCAGGAAGTAATGCATACTTTTTTGAAGGAATACTGCGCTCTGTGAAGGAACATGTGTACTCTTTAGAGCAAGGTAGAACGCCGTTTCAATTTTTTGGAAGGAAGAACAGCATGTAAAAAGCACTTCCTTGAGAGGTATCCTACATTCTTTCAGAGCTGTTCTTCTGACATAAATTACAACGCTTTGCTGATTTGATGCTGTATGTGTTCAACGATGGATTTTGAGGGGGTCTTACGTATAGCATGTGCATGTACAACTATACGTGCATATCTATGCAAATACTATATTACTATATATTGCTATATCATAAGTTGTACATAATACAATGAAAAGTTAATGTATATATATATACTATAATATAACAGGAACATATAGACTATTACATTGCAATATAATATAATCTGAAACAATATGCAAAATACGGCATGGCATGGAACACATAATCTGATACAATATGATATAATATCCTATCATATCATATAATATCCTAAAAATGTAATATGATATGATATCATATGAAATTGTATGATATGATATAATATGATGTGATATGATTATCGTACAAGATCAATCCATATCATATTCTTTATATATATATATTATATACATAAAAACCATAAACATCGTAAACCATTAAATTTATTACACATGTCGGTTTTCGAACTCCACACGAACGATGCAACTGATATCTTGCTGATGAGATTATTGGGCATCCGCCTGCGTTCAATACAGAAACGCCAACGCACTGAATTCATTGACTATCTGAATTTTGCACCACCCTGGAACCTTTTTTGAGGGAATTCCAACCCTTTTCTTTCAACGCGCCTGCCTTGTGTGTAGCTTCTAATGCTTCTAATTTCCTATCTGTGCACGCCCTGGGGTTTGTGAGCACATGTATCTCGACATCTCACGTTGATCCTTGGGCATCTAGCTTGTGAAGCTGCAAGCTTGGTGTCCAGGAATTCTTTCAACTGCTCCTTCGAAACATCTTTGATGGGGCAAACAGATTGGAGCCAGTGTAGTCAGTTTTGACACGTGACGCAGTGGACACAGGTCTGGCAAGGGATGTGCAAGTGATCTACGATGATCTAGTCTATGGGTACAGTTCAACCAGGTCCTCTGTCACCCGCAGGCTGATACCAGTGATCAAGACGTTCTCTACACCATCTGCACTTTCTGCATTGGCCTGCAAGCATCTGTAAGCACTTCTCACTTCTCTCCGTATGCAAGTCAAACACAAACAGTTCAATAGTACTGGAATGAAGATCGGCCCGCTGGTGGCTTAAAAAGAGGACGCATTTCACTTCTCTTCGGTTGCTGACATGTATTGTTACCATGTTGTTATCATTTGTTACCTAGGTGATGTTTGGAGCAGGAGCAACACACAACCGCTACCAATCGCTACCACCACAGGGAACAGCCTGTGGTTTTTCAAAAATTCAAACCTGCTTGAAACCATGGCTGTACTGAGTCATGTTTTCTTCTATTATAAGGCCGTCAAAATTACAATCATGCTTTTGACAAGAAGCAAAATTGAACGAATACAACTTGAGGTACCCAAGAAGACTTAAAGCATGAGACGCATTTGCTTGGATTTACATAATGCCTCCATGTAAAGTACCAAGACATAACAAGATCACTTATTCAGTTGTGTTTTTTATTTTCCTTGCTAAACTGCAATATATATAATATATACACAAATTAGGACTAATTAGGACACCTAGGTGGGGCCTACGCAAACCACTCCTCCCATGCAAAACTGCCTACGCGAGGGTTACCTTTCAAGAAGTGCCTACGCGGTTGCCTCCGCGAAAGTTGCTGCAACGATCTCTTTACTTGACGTGATGTGGTCACAATTCTGGTTCAGAAGAGGAATAGAAAGAATTGGAAGATGACGACTCTTTGGGTGACTTGTGAAAGGAAGGCGGAAGCCCCATCAAGAGTGGAGCACTTTGTCATGATGTGATCGGCAGTCATGATGAACTCATGGAAACATTAGAAAAGTGAAACGGTAAGACTCTGATGGGCTACGGGCCACAATCTGACGTAGGGCCTCCGTTTTCCTATGCGAGGGCCTACGCGGAGCCTACGCGAAAATCCGATTCGAAAACTTGACACTTGTAATTTTCTGAAAAAGCGATTGTTTCATCTTGTTTCTTTCATCTCCCCATTCTTCCAGCTAAACGTATGAATCATACAATCCAGTTTGCATTTAAAATCATTGTAAGCCACCAAGAAAAACAAGAGTTTGAGGTCAGAAACAAACAATCTAGAACATCTAAACAAGCGCCTACGCGAGACTGCCTACGCAGCCTCTCCTACATTATCCTATGTATATGCCTACGCAGGACTACGCACCAAGCAGAATAGCCTACGCATGAATGATGTGAATTCCTCCTCGATCTAAATTCCATCATCTGGAAAAAAAACGTGGCTCACTTCTGTCTTTCCCACTTCAAGACACAAAACTGCTTGGCGCACCCGTTTCGCAACCACTTCCCCCCAAGACAAAACAGCATGGTACAAAGATGTACAAAGACAGGAGGATGGCAATGCAACGACTCCAACGACTTTAGATGACTTTAGTACTTGGAAGATCTTGGGAGTAGTGCTGCTCCTTAGTGTTGAAGTGCTTCTGTCTAAGCTTTGTTCGTTTGCATCTTTTTGCTGCTTTATTCTTTGTGAGTATCACTTCTACAAAGAAGTTGGTCTTGAGTCTTAAGGGTCAAACTGCGTTGAGCGACGCAAGAGTCAATTGGAAAGGGCTAGTTTCAATAGAGTAAGTTTTTTGATAGGATGGATGGATGGAGCTCCAAGAGGTCAGAACCAGCAGCTCCTGAGATTCATTTGACAGTCAGTACATTTCTGGATATTTTGCAACATGCGACACACTATACCATGCCATGCCATATCACGTCAAACGACCATTCAAGTTTGAAGGATATTGGAACATACCATGTCGGGCCGGCCACGCCATACCACACGATCATGACATGGGGGTTGTTAAAAAATATGGTTCCCCAAAACTGCTCTTACGCCATGCTTTCGCGACCCTTTCACGCCCCAGCAGAATTGGGACACGGAATTATGATAACGTTTTCATGTGCATATTTCGTATACATAGATATAAATAGTGGTATTCAGACCTTTCGCGAACCTTTCGCCACGCTTTCGCGGCCTTTCGCCACTGCAGCAAAAACATGCGTCCATATCTGCAGATGTCACTCGGATACTAAAAAGTCTTGCATGCGTTTTAGAACGACTCCCACATGAACATGTTTCATTAAGTGTTGAACGTGTGGTTGTTGGTGTGTTCAATTGAGGCATCGAAAATCCGTCCTTCCATTCTGCCAAACGAGGTGCCTCGCTGCTTGGACCAGAGGTTCCCACTGGATATCCACCTTGACAGGAACAAGGCAACTCAGACCATGCTGGTGTACTAAATGGATCTAAAAGGCTGGTGTGCGTGCAGGGAGTATATGAAAGTAGATTACTATTAGATACTATTAGTACACACCAGTCAACATCAGGTCCTCCAAATTGACAATGCTGCAATATAAATCATAATGTTATATACTGTACAGTAGTACCCTTTGCCTGTGCTGCTCATTTCAACCTGAGTGCATCTTCGTGATTACGGAGAATCAAACCTACAGGTACTAGACAGGTTGCTACACGTGCTCTGAGGGTTTGTCTGGTTGTCGATGGATTTGTTCTGCGCCTTATTGAGGCATTTTTGTTGCTTCATTCCTCAAATGCTCTGGTCTTGTGAATTCTCAATTGACAGGTCAACGATGTTCAGCAAGACATCCAGCAAAAGCAGGACATTGCCAAAGTTGAGACGAAGACACGGGTTGAAAGGCTTTGGTGGCGGAGCAATCTGAAGCAATGAGGTCAATATTTGGCTGAAGGAATGCTGAAGGAAGGATGTGACAAAAAGAATTAGTGTCAGAAAAATATAGAAAGATTGGATGCCATCGGTTTGCTGTTCATTGCCGTCCTATATGTCCTATGTCTGCTTATTCTGCTTGTCAGAATGAGGGCTGAACTCCCGGCAGCACACTTGGATGAAATTTCACCTGGAGTGATTCCTTCATATTCCTTCAAGCCTGTGGCATCCTGTGGCTGTAGTTGGTTTGATAATCTTCTCCTTGTGCTATCCTCTTCGCACTAATAGTCACTAAGTAATTCACCATTGGTTTGGGAAGCTAAGCCTCTTACCAGCCTACGAACTTGAGCAGGGAGCAGCCTGCCACCAGTTCGTGAAAGCTACTATCAAGGCCGTTCTTGGTGGGAAACGGATCAC